ATCTTATCTTTACGGAAGGTAAAAATCAATTGAATCGAGAAATATGCAATTTATACATATAATTAGGCATGGTTTTCATTATAATTTTAAACACTTTAACAAAATATGCATTTACTTCTTCAGAGATTTTATCAACTTGGCACTATGTCGTTTCCACTTTGCTTCCAATTCGCGAATCGGCGCTTAGAGGGAGGACAGTTGGGGTCGTTTGGTCAATCTTGATGTATCCCCTTTCTTTTTATCAGAAACAGCTGAAAGGTAGGAAAACTATGGGAGGGAGAGCGCCCCGGTATCTCGAAGCTTCCGTAAGTGACACTGAGTGGACTCAGTGAGTGGACTTAGGGTCATATGTCATTTAGGAGGACTCTTACCTCCACAGATGATTCTTCACCCGGCAGGGATTTTCTAACGCCACCCCGCCCCAGGGGGTAAGTTATATTTACTCACTAAGCAATTACCAAGCTCATTAAAATCGGTGGACGTTTCAAAATTTGACCAATTTACCTGTTCTAGACAATGTTATAATTTGACAAATAGAAATTGAGTATACCTACTGAAAAAATACGAAGTGGATTTTTTCTAAACAGGATGTTTGGGAATATCATCAAATACAATGTAAATGAATGAAATAAAAGTATAAAGAAATAATAGTCATCATCTTGAAAGCAGTTGGGAAAAGTGATCTCTGAGCTAACCCTGCCACAATACACAAGTCTCTAAATTTTTTATTTAGGATATATGATAAAATGCTAACCTTCAAAGGACCTCCTATCCCACCTAAAAGCTTAAAGAGAAGAACATACTTACATTAGACTCAAGAATAAAATTAGAAACAGTTTTCATGAACCGTTACCTACTTAACTAGCTAACATACACTCAATCCAAACTAAATCAAAATAATCCATCAAACAATATAATATACATATGCTTCAATTTTATTAAGAATATATTTTAGGTACATTACATTCTACAAAGAAAACAACTGATTAGTAATTGAAATGCAGAACAATTATTGGCTTATGGCAAACCTAATCTGTAATTTAACCCCTACACTAGATCCACTCAGCAAATTTATAGTGTTAACTGCAATTTAACTGCATTGAACGATGTATTGTTGATAAAATTGTAAAATTATTAATTGTTTTCAAAAACTTACTCTTATGAGATATATATACACTGCAAGTTATAAACAATAACCAGCTATGAAGAAAATACTATAGACACATATTCAGAAATCTTGAAATATAGATACCTACGCACATCTTTCGTGGTACTAAATAATTAGGTTATGTGAACATCAAAAACAACAATAATAGGAATTGATGAACCCAAACCAGAATTTGAACCTTATTATAAATACTCTGACCCATTATTTGATGAAAATTATTAAAACTATCCATGATGATAACTATACAGAGAATTTTCACAAAACTTTTGTGAAAATTCTCAATAATTATCATGGATTTGAACCTTACATAATATGTTTCCATTGTAGGTACTATTCAAAATATAAGCTCTGTATCTCTCAGTTTCTATCAACCACACGATCTTATAAGTGCCTTTATCTACATGCTCTTAATGTTTTTTTAATGTCTATCATTATTATTTTCATCTGATTGGGATGGGAATTATTATTCAATTATCTTTGATTGCTGGAAGAATAATAATTTTTATAGTTTAGAATTTTCGACTTCATGGGCGAATTAAGATCCAAATTTTGGGGAGAGGGTAATTTCTGAATTTCGGGGGGGGTGATTATTTATGTATGAAAGTATGTGTCTGTTTATATTACAAAATGTATTGAATTATTGAAATAAACGCTGTTCCCAAACATCCAAATTGCAACACTCTTCTCGATGCGCGTTTCACCAGCTAACTTGGCGTCTTCAGGAGATGAAGTATAGTAATTCCTAACTCTAAAACTCGTCTCAATTTTTATCTAACAAAGTACACTTTCACTTTTCGGCACACATCAATTATCTTCGTAAATCTTCGACCTTTTCAAAAGACATTATTTCAAAGTACACTTCCGTATGAACCAAGATACATTAACGGATTGTATCTAATTTTCAAACAGTTGAACATATAAGTAACCTTAAAAATGTCTTGCTCACTCCAAAGAATTTAAGGTTACAATAAAAGCAATATCTTGGAAAA